CTTTCTTTAGTTTTTGTGTAGTGATGAGAGAGGTGTGTTAAACTTATCAAGTATTCTTGTATCTGGTTTATTTGATTCTTGAACTTGAAAGGATTTGTTTGATGAATGTAKACGTTTCATCATTTGGGGCATAAATATTTACAATTGTTATATCTTGTTGATTTAAAATTCATTTAAGCAGTATAGAATATCCTTCTTTGTCCCTTCTGATTAACTTTGGCTTGAAATCTTCTTTTTCTGATATGAGGATAGAAACCTTTGCTTGTTCTTGAGATCCATGTGAATGATATACCTTTTCCCCATCCTTTTACCTTCAGTTTGTGGATGTCTTTGCCTGTGAGGTTAGTCTCTTGGAGACAGAATATTGTTGGGTCTTGATTTTAATACCAATATGCCAATCTRTGTCGTTTGATTGATTAGTTTAGGCCATTTACATTCAGTGGTATTATTGAGAAATAATTTTTATTCCCTGTCATTTTTATTTATTTCTGGCTTTTAATTTGAGTTATTGTCTCCTTTGGCTATGCTTTCAGTATAATTCCCTTCTCTGCTGGTTTTCACTTTTACTTTTCATTTCTTTTTGAAATATTTTATTGAGTATGGTTTTTAGTGCACATTTTCTAGTTGTGAATTCTTAACTTTTACTTATCATGGAAGTTTTTTATTTCATCATCAGTTCTGAAGCTTAATTTTGCTAGTATAGTAGTCTGACTGCCATCCATTTTCTTTCAGAGCTTGGTATATATTATTCCAAGACATTCTAATTTTGGGGGTCTGAGTTGAGAAATCAGCTGAGGTCCAGATTGGTTTCCCTCTAAATGTGACCTGTCGTTTTTCTCTAGCAACTTTTAAAGTTCTATTCTTATTCTTTATGTTAGGCATTTTCATAGTAATGTGCCTTTGTGTGGGTCTGTTGGAATTTTGTATATYAGGAGTCCTGTAACCCTCCTGTMTTTGATTTCCATTTCATTCTTAAGGTTATGGAAATTTTCTGATATTTTATTGAAAAGATTGAACATTGCTTTGGTTTGTATTTCAGCCTTCATTTAGCTTGATTAATCTTGAATTTAGTCTTTTCATATAATCCCATATTTCTTGGATATTCTTTTCATGGTTTCTTAACATCTTTTCTCCATGGCCAACTTTACTTTCAAGATTTTATATTTTGTCTTTATTGCCTAAAACTCTGTCTTCCAAGTGGTCTRGTATGCTGGTGATAATTTTCATTGAATTTTTTTATTTGGTTTATTGATTCCTTCATTTTGAGGATTTCTGCTTGATTTTCCCCCAAAATCTGTATCTCTTTATTTTAGTGATCTTTCACTTTCTGTATTTTCTCTCTGATTTCATTCCTTACATTGTCCTTACCTTACATGTCAGTTTTTAACTCTGAACATTCTAAACTCCTTCTCTGACATATTTCCACTGTGTTGTCTATGGATTCTGTTACTGTGGTATTTTGGTTTGTTTGGGGTGATTTGTTACTTTGCTTTTTCATGCTGTGTCAACCCATATAAAAGTATGGATCTGAGGCAGTACAGTTTTGACCCTGTGGACTTACAGTGTCCCTGAAACTTCACAGTTTAGGAGCCAATGAATAATAATAATAACAACCAATGTAAACAATATACAGCATTAAACCRAATAGTTCCTGCTATGACCTATACATTGTTGATTGGCACAGTAAACAGAAATGATGTGATCATTTATTGCCCACAGTAAAAACAGAAAGTTTGCAAAAAGGTTTACAATTTAAAATGGTGAACAGGAAGAGAATAGAAGCAATGTAGACTATGTAGATTATGAGTAGGAAGAGAGAAAATTGAAGTTAAAACTTAAAGGGGACTGAAAGAGAGAACAGTAGAGATTGACTGTTAGCAGAAGAGAGAAAGAGAAGGGAAACAGATAAGTGTGAGAGAAAAGTATGTAAAATAAAATAAATAAATATAAAAATAGAAGAGTACATAACAAAACTGAAGTATACTATTTAGAATCATAGTCCTCAAAATACTGACCCATGAAAAATAACTTCTTTCCAAAATATTAGAAATGATAAAAAGAAACAATTATGTATATATTTCYATGAACCATTCAGTTCACAAATAAAGAGATAAAAGGAAAAAGGGGGGRAAAAGATGAAAACTTTCAGAATTGTTTCATTGGAATTCAGAAAATTCTCAGTTTCCCTTATCAGCAGTGTTAGGTGGGGTGGGCTGGAGTGTGATGACTCCTTCACCCTCAAGGTGGGGTTGCTGGAGTGTGAGAGAGAAGATCCCATTGGTGGAGCTCCTGGAGGTGGGGTTTAAGCTTCGTCAGTTTCCAGGTTCTTCCTTGAATGTCGATTGGTCCAAAGATTTTAAATSAGCTCAACTCCAGTTCCCAGCAGTTACTTGTTCACACTGGGAGACTCCACCCCAGAAATCTCTCCTGGRTTCCACTTGTGCAGTGTAGGAGTCAGTCCTTAGTTCCCTCTGTCATGCTTGGATTAAAAAATTACTGGTCTCTCAGGTTTAATCTCTAAACTCAATCATTCCCACCCCCATCCTTTTGAATTCCTTGCTAGGCGCAGCTCTCCCAGCTGGCCTTTTAAACCACCAGAGTCAAGTTGGATGGGTTTCTATGACCTGTATTCTCCTGTGTAAATTTTTTCCACGTTTGATTTTCTCCTCGTCACTTAGCCACTCTCTATGTCATGCGGTATTGGTTTGCCAGTCCTGTAGTTAGGGAGGAGCTACKCATGCTGTCAGCTTCTGTACTGCACCTGCAGAATGGCTCCATCCTGTTTTCTGTAGGCAACTTGGAGAGATGTGGCTTCTTTTCTTCACTAGGATATTGTTCAGAATGCTTTTTTGAGTTAGTGTGCAGTGTCTTTGAACTTTGATACCTCTATACCCAGACACACCAGTTGTATCCTAAAAATGTGGGTTCCTTTACTTAATTCTCTTATCTTTCCACTTTGCTTGTCTGGGAAGCACTCTGAGTGCAYCACCAGTGGCAGCAATGGTGCTGGGGATTACTTGCTTTCTTTTATTTTTTTTAATACTGGGGATTGAACTCAAGGGCACTCAACCACTGAGCCACAACCCCAATCTTATTTTGAATTTTATTTTAAGACAGGGTCTTACTGATTTGCTAATAAGTCCTTGCTATTGCTGAGGCTGACTTTGAACTCAGGATCCTCCTGACTTAGCCTCCCCAACTGCTGGGATTTTATAGGCGTGTGTCACTGCACCTGGCATTTCCTTATTTTATTATAGCCAACCTCCTGAGTTCCCTTTCTGTTTTGAATGTTCAATATTAGTTCCTGGTAAAGTCCATTTTTAAAATTTTTTTACCTACCTTTTTAAGAATCTKCTGAGTTGCTTTCTTGGTTTCATGCCACTGAGCAGCCAGGAAAAAAAAAAACTCTCCTGTTCCACCATCCTGAAAATCTTTGCTTTTCTTTCTTTTGATAGCATAGGCATTAGTCATGTGACATAATCTCTGTGTACCTCATTTTCTTCATGAAGAGTATGTCAATTTTAAATGATGTTAAGAGATTTAAATTTCAAATTTTTTATTTTTAAATTTCCTGTAATGGTATTTGACATTTAATAACTGCTAGGTAAGCATTTGTTAAGTAAAAATGAATGTAGCTACATATATGAATTTACCCCCAATTATGATTAGTTGCAATATGTATTTGAATTATTTAAATAATCAAGATTGTATCTTTCTCTGTTTAATTTTCTACAGCATATCGTGAACCTCATTATTATTATCAGTTCACAGCTCGGTATCATGCAGCTCCCTGCAATAGTATCTATAATATTTCCTTTGAGAAGAAACTTCTTCAGATTTTAAGCAAATTGGTTCTTGACCTTTCATGTGAAATTTCCTTACTTAAATCTGAATGCCATCGTGTTAAAATGCAAAGAGCTGGTTTGCAAAATGAATTGTTCTTTACATTTTCAGGTAAGTGTAAAAACTTTCTTAAAAAAWTAAATCACATAACAAATTTTGAATACTTTATGAATTACCAGCAGTATTTTTGGAATATAAATTGTATAAATTAAGTATATTTTCTGTTCTGTGTTTTGATTTTAGGGCTAATAACTCCCAAATAAAGTCCCAATTTATGTACTCAATGAGAAGTTTGCTCTTTCAAATAACTTAAACCTTCCTTTGATAATTTACTATAGTATGGAATTTAGCATAGGATATATTGTGATATTTAGTTACAATGGTTTAATATGTGAAAACATCTAATTAGGAGATTGGTTAACATTGTAGACCAGAAGAACCATTTAGCTTCCTGTACTTTTCTTGATCTAAAGGGAAGCCTAAAGACAAAGAATTCAACTTGAGTTGCAAGGATTTTAGATTTATAAATGGTCTGTTTAAGAAAGTTCTTTCAGGGATCCTACAGAATGGGAGCAACTTTTTACCACATGTGCATAACATYGAGTGCTAATCTCTAGGAAAGATAAAGAACTCAAAAATCTTACTTCAAAAAAAAAATAACCCAATCAATAAATGGGCCAAAGAACTGAACAGAGACTTCTCACAAGCTGATGTAAAATTAATCAACAAATATATGAAAAAAATGTTCATCATCTCTAGTAATTAGAGAAATGCAAATCAAAACTACTCTAAAATTTCATCTCCCTCCAGTTATGGCAGCTATTAAAAATACTGTGTGTTGGCAAGTATTTGGGGAAAAGGGCACTCTCATACGTTGCTGGTGGGACTACAAATTGGTACAGCCATATGGAAAGAAGTATGGAAAACTGGGAATGGAACTACCATTTGACCCATCTATCCCACTCCTGGTTTATATCCAAAGGACTTAAAAACAGGATACTACAGGGACACAGCCACACCAATTTTATAGCAGCACAGTTCACAACAGATAAATTGTGGAAYCAACCTAATTGCCCTTCAGTAGATGAATGGATAAAGAAAATGTGGTATATATACACAATGGATTATTACTCAGCATTAAGAGAATAAAATCATGGCATTTACAGGTAAATGGATAGAGTTGGAGAATATAATGCTAAGTGAAGTAAGCCAATCTCTAAAAACTAAATGCCAATGATTTCTCTTACACAAGAATGCTTATTCATAAAGGGGATGCCTGGCGAGCATGGAAGCAATAGACAAACTTTAGATAGGGAAAAGGGGAGGAAGGGGAAGGGAAAGGGTATGAAGGTAAGAAAGACCGTGGAATGAGATGGATGTCATTACCCTAACTACATCTATGAAGATACAGATGGTGTAACTCTACTTTGTGTACTACCAGAGACATGAAAAATTGTGCTCTATATGTGTAATATGAATTGAATCGCATTCTGTTGTCATATATAACAAATTAGAATAAATAAAATTTTAAAAAATAGAAAAAAAGTAATGCTGTCTCAGGAGTAGCCATCTGTGTGTGTGTGTGTGTGTGTGTGTGTGTGTGTGTGTTTTAATTTTCTGCCTTTTAAAAAATTTTTGATGTTTTTCTATAGTGGGGATTGAACCTACATGTACATTACCACTGAACTACATTATTTTTTTTAATTTTGAGACTTGTTCTTATTAAGTTGTTTCAGGCAGGCCTTGAAATTATGATCCTCCTGCTTTAGCCTCTATGTTACAGGCATGCATCACAGCATTCCACTGAGCTCATTCATGTGTTTTATAGCATGCTTCCCCTCCCATTTCATCTCAAAAGCTATTGCTTGCTATATTCCTTTATTCTTCCATATTTTCCTTTGATTTCTCTGTAATCAGTGTTTGATGATACTTACCTATTTCCCTAACTTTTTCTTCTCTTTCTTTTCTCTCATTCATATTTTGATCATTTAGTATTTAATTTTGAAAGACACAATTGTATTACATTTAGATTTAAAGGCAAAGGACATAAGCAGTTCAACCTAATTTCCAGTCTTGATCTTCCTTGCCAAGTTTTTTCTCAAAAAAAAAAAAAAATACAACAAAAAAAACCCAAAAAACAAAAACCCTGAAATTTGTCTCCAATCCCTAAAACAAATGACCAGAGGCAGACTGTTTGTTTAGTTTTTAGTTTTTCAAAAATGCAAAGACTTTGTAACTTTTGTAACTTTTCAGTGTTTCTATGACAGCTTGATGTTGATTGCAATTACATAGTTTACTATCTGCTACTCTATTTTTTGCCACACACAAAAAAAGCCTTTGGAATTTTGCTAGGGATTTTATTAAAATATGTATATGGGTTTGGGTATTTTTGCCAGCTTAACAGTATTGTATGTTAGTTTACAAACATAGAATATCTATCCATTAATTTAAGAACTTTGCTTCATTTTAGAGTGTTTTATAGTTATCAGTATAGAAAACTTAGTGACAAATTTAGTTTTTATTGATATAATTATACAAAATAATGGATTCATTGTGGCATATTTTATATGTACATAACATAATTTGGTCAGTTTCATKTCTCAGTACCTTTCCTTTCTATCCTCTCCTTCCTCTCTCCAATCTTCAACCTCTGGTGTACTGTCTTCCTTCTCTTTTCAGGACCATCCTCTTTGTGCATTTTTCCTTCTAACTCCCACATATAAGAGAAAAACATATGGCCCTTGATATTTCTTAGTCTGTTTTATTTCATTTAACATGATGTTCTATGCTTCCATCCATTTACTTGCAARTCCTATAATTTTGCTCTTTATGCCTTCATAAAATTCCATTGTGTATATATACCACATTTTGCCTATCCATTGGTTGATGGACACCAGCTGGTTCCATAACTTGGTCATTGTAAATTGTGCTACTATACCATGCATACACATGTATAACCACAGTATGATGCCTTTAGTTCTTCTGGAAAACACTGAGATCATATGTTGGTTCTATTCCTACTCTTTTGAGAAACTCCATACTTAACTTTTTTAATGGTTTCACTGATTCACAACCCTACCAACAGTGTATAAGTGTTCACCCCATCTTCACCAGCATTTATTATTATTATTTATATTCTTGGTGATTGCTGTTTTAATTGAGTAAGATGTAAGTTCAGTGTTGTTTTGATTTGTACTTTCTTGATTGCTAACACTTTTTTCACATATTTTTGGTCATTTCTATTTTTTCTTTTGAGAAATGTCTGTTTAGATCCTTTGCCCATTTATTAAATTGGTTGTTTTTTTTCAGTGCTAAGTTTTTTTWATATATTTTAGATATTAATCCTGTGTCTTAAGAGTAACTGACAAAGATTTTCTAATATTCTATTTGCTCTCTCTTTATAGTCTTGATTCTTTTGCTCTATAGAAGTTTTTCAATCTAATATCATTCCACTTATTAATTGTTGGTGTTATTTCTGAACTTTAGGGGTCATATTGAGGAAGTTACTGCCTGCTCCTACATGTTAGACCCTGTGTTTTCTTCTAGAATTGCAAAATTTCTCTTCATTACTAGGTCTTTCATTTTCTTTAAGTTAATGATGATGAAGGGTGTGAAATTGGGCCCTAGGTTCACTAGGTTTGCGTTTTACATATGGATATCCAGTTTTCTTAAGTGCCATTTGTTTAAAAGGCTGTCCTTTCTCCATTGAATGCTTTTAGCACATGTGTTAAGAATCAGATGACTGTATGTATGTGGGTTTGTTCCTGTGTYTTCTGTTCTATTCCATTGATCTTCATGTCTATTTCACTACCACTGGTATGCTATGTGGACTTATCTCTGTTTCGTATTCTGCTCTGCTGGTCTGCATGTTTGATTTTGTGTGGTATTGTGCTGTTTTAGTTACTATGGYTCTGTAGTATAATTTCCAATCAGGTATTGTAATGCCTCTAACATTACTCTTTTTTATTAGAATCGCTTTGATTATTCTGGATTTTTTACCTTTCATAAAATTGTAGGAATATGTTGTGAAGAATGTCATTGACATTTTGATGGTGATCATGTTTTTATTGTTGAGATTGTTCACCTCCTTGGTTAGATTTAGTCTTATTTTTTTATTCTATTGTGAATCAATTTGGTTCATTCATTATTCAGCAGATTCCTTATTGACATATATAAAAGCTATTAATTTTTGATTTTTGTTTTCTGCTACTTTGCTGAATTTATTTATCAACTTTGAAAATCTTGTGGTGGGGTTTTTGAAACTTTTAAGTGTAGGATTATATCATCTAGAAACACTGATAATTTGACTTCTTCTTGTAAAACTTGTATCCTTTTATTTCCTTCTCTTGACTAACTGCTCTAGCTAAAATTTCAAGTACTATATTGTGTAGGAGAGGTCAGAATGGAGATTTTAGTCTTGCTCCTAATTTTAGAGAAGATGATTTCAATTTTTCCCTATTCAATATGATGCTGGCTTTGGGATTTTCATATATAGCATTGATGAGGTTCATTCWGTTCATTGAATGATGAGGTTCATTGATGAGTTCATTCTGTCCCTAGTTTCTTCAGTGTTTTTATCATAAATGGGTATTGAATTTTGTAAAAGGCATTTTTTCTGCATCTTTTGAGGTAGTCATATGATTTTCCCTTAATTCTGCATATGTGATGAATAATATTTTTTGGKTTGCATATGTCCAGTCAACCTTGTATCCTTGGGGTAAAAGCAACTTGATCCTAATGTAAAATCTTCTTAATGCATTTGAATACAAATTGCTAATATTTTTAAGGATTTTTGTATCTATGTTTATCAGGCACATTGGTCTGTAGTTTTCTTTTCTTGATGTATTCTTATCTGGTTTTGGTATCAGGATAAGACTGGCTTCATAAAATGAATACAGGTGTTTACAAGTGTTCTTTMCACCTTCAACTTCATGGAATAATTTGACGATCATTGATTATAGTTCTTCTTTAAAGGTCTGGTAAAATGCATCTGGGGAAAGATTTGGTCCTGGGATTTTCATTGTTGGAGAGGTTTACTTTGTTGCTGTTGTTTTGTATTTTTTAAATTTAGCCTCAATCTCATTGCTTATTATCAATTTGTTTAGATATTATCTTCTTTTTTGTTTCAATTTTGTTTGGGTCATACATGTCTAGAAATCTGTCTATTTCTTCTAGATTTTCCAACTTATTGGAATATAAGTTTTTAAACTAGTCACTAATTAATCTCTTGATTTCAGAAATGTCTTTGGCAATATCTTCTTCTTCATCTCTATTTTTATTAATTWGAGTCTTTACTTTGGTTAATTTGTTAAAGGTTTATCAATATTGTTTATTCTTCAAAAGAACCAACTCCTCTTTCATTGATCTTTTGTATTGTTCTTTTATTGTATATTTAATAATTTCAGCTGTGATCTTCCCTTCTACTATTTTGGAATTGTTTTATTCTTATTTTTCTAGGACYTTGAGATACATACTAGGTTGTTTATGTGGGATTTTTATGATGTATGCACATAAGCATTCATAGCTATAAACTTTCCTCTTTGAAACCACTTCATAGTGTCCCAGAGATTCTGGTGTGTTGTATTTGCTATTCTCCTTTATTTCTAGGTATTTTCAAATTTCTCCCCTGATTTCATCTCTGATCTGTTCACCATTCAAAAGTGTATTGTTCACTGGGTGCTGTGGCACAGGCTTGAAATCCCAGTTGTTTGGGAGGCTTMAGACAGGAGGATCACAAGTTCAAAGCTAGCCTAAGCAATGGTGAGGCAGTAAGCAACTCAGTGAGACCCTGTCTCCAAATAAAATACAAAATGGGGCTAGGGATATTGCTCAGTGGTCAAGTGCCCCTGAATTCAATCCCCGGTAACAAAAAAAAATAATCTCCATGTATTTATGTAATTTCTATTGTTTGTTTTTCTTGCTAATGATTTCTAATTTCATTTTCTTATCATCTGTTAAGTGCAAGAAGTTAAATTGATTTTTTAAAAATCTTGTAAGACTTGCTTCATGATCTAAGATGTTGTCTATTTTAAAGAAGGTTCTATGAGAGTCTGAGAAGAGATTGAATTCAGCTGTTGTTAGATGAAATATTCTATAGATGTCTTTTAGGTCCATTTCATATGTATTATTTTTTTAGGTTTGTCCAAAGAATTTTTTATTAGTTTTATATTTGGAMAGTCTGTCTCTTCATGAAAGAAGTATATTGAAATCATCTAGTATTATTGTATTGGCATCAGAATCTTTATGTTGAATAGTGTGTATTTTATGTAATTGAATAATTTGGGGCACAAATATTATCATTTTGTTTTCCTTTTGGATTCTTCCCAGTATGAAGTGACCTTCTTTGTCTCTTCTTAATTTTGTCTTGAAGTCTGCCTTATCCAAAATGAGAATAGTTATTCCTTCTTGCTTTAGACGTTCATTTGCATGGAATATCATTTTCCATTCTTTCCCTTCAGCTTATGAATGTCTTTTCCTGTAAGTAAGCAACATATTATTAGGTCTTGTTTTTTAATTCAGTCTGCTAGTTTATAGTTTTTTTTTAATTTAAATGTGGAGACCAATTTATATTGTGTTATTACAGGTATTTATTTCCTCCCATTTTTGATTCATTTCTAATTTTAATTCAGTCCTAATACTCATTTGCTCAGCTATTTTTCTAATGAAAATCATCTATTCACAAGCTCAGGTATTTTTTCTTTCTTCTTCTTCTCTTYAAAACAAAACAAACCTTTTATGTGTAGTATTTCTTTAAGTATTTTTGTAGTGCTGCCTTAGTACTCCTGAATTCTTTTAGTTGTTGTTTTTCTTGGAAGATTTTTATTTCTTCACTAATTCTGAAGGATAGCTTTGCTTTTATTTATTTTCCTTAATRGAAGCTTTGATTATTGAATTTTTATCTTCTCTAATATGTATTCACTTTGTTATAAATTTCTTTGTAAGCACTGTATGCCACAAATTTTAATAAGTTGTGTTTTCACATTTGTGTACTTTGAAATATATAATTTTTCTTGACAAATCATAAGTTATATATTAATGTTTTAAATGTCAAGGTTCTTGGGATTTTCCAGGTATTTTCTGTTATGGATTTGCAGTTTGATGCTTTTGTGGACTGAATGCATACATTGTATTGTTTATATTTTTTAAAAAATGTTAATATCTTCAATATGACCCCAAATGTGGTCCTATTAGTGAGGGTTTAATGTGAGCTTGAAAATAATGTTTATTTACTGTTGTTGTATGAAATATTTTCTGAATGTCAGTTTAGTACAATTGAAGGGTGGTATTTCTCAGGTCAACTGTATTCTTTTTCACTTTTTTGCTTTTTAGATTTTTTAGTTACTAATAGAGAGGTGTTGATATCTCCACATATAATAGTTGTTTCTTGTATTTTTCCCTTACAGTTTYAATAATATTTTGCCTCAGGTGGCTGTGTTCTCTATTGTTAGGTACATACACATTAGAGATTCTGGTGTCTTTGTGGATAATTGATTTATTCCTGACAATTATGTTTGCCTTCATCTACTTTCTCTGAAATTATTATTGATACTCCAGCTTTTTTATTTTGATTAATATAAGCATGGCATATTTTTCTCCATCTCTTTGCTTTTTATCTGTCCATATCTTTATATTTTAAAAAGGTTCAGTATGAACAATATATACTACCCTCCATGGTTTTTAATGAGAAGTCTGATGTTGATCTTATTATAAGACTCATTATATGTGACAAATTACTTCTTTCTTGCAGCTTTCAAGATTCTTTCTTTCTCTTTCACACTTGACAGTTTGATTATAATATGACACAATGTGGAATTCCTTGCATTTCCCCTGGGATGTATGTGGATTTCTCTGATCATCTTATACATGTAAATTTATACTTTTTTCAAATTTGGGAAATTTTAACTGTTTGTTATTTAAATATTCATTCTGTTTTCTTTTTCTTTTCTCTTATTTTAACTCCTATTTTATGTGTATGTGATACATTTGGTGTTATCCTAGAGGTCTCCTAACTTCATTTTTTTATGTTCTTCACTGACTAAATACTTTTAATGACTATCTTCAAGTTGATTGATTCTTTTTTCTGACTGCTCAATCCATTTTAAAATCTTTATGAATTCCTTTAATTTGTTGTAATTTTGTGTTCTAGAATTTTTATTAGATTCCTTTGTWTTATTTAACTTTTTTTATATTCTGTATTTGTCAAGACAGGATTTTCCTGATTTTTTTTTTAGTTTTTTTGTCCATAATTTTCTCCAGCTCCTTGAACATATGGGAGATAGTTGATTCAAAGATTTTATCTAGTAAATACACATTAAAGTTTTTTTAGACGCTCTGTGGGCTCTAATGTAGGGGAGATATTACTAAGGAGATGGATGATTGAGATCTTCCATAGTAAATTGTTGATTTTTAGAAAGAATTGTATAGAAAACAAACAATATCATGTATACATTTTTGGAGCACTCTATAATAGCTAATGAGAGATATGGGTAGGAGTATAGGGAAAATCAAGTTGTCATGATTGCTAATGGCTAAATTATTARTAGCTTTGTTGGTCTGAAATATTTATGATTTTAATCATATTCACACAGATGTTAAAGAATGGGGAAAATTCACATTATTCAGCCTATTATTTTATAGAATGTGAAAATCTTGAGAGTAAATAATATGTCTGTTTATCTGTTTATTAGTGATAGATCTAGGACTCAAAATAAGATTTCTTTCTATATATTTTGATGAATAGTTGARAGAAACTAAAGGTTTTAGAGCTTTAATGAGGCAGTGAGATTGATGCTATGATTCAGAAAGATTATTAATAGAAATCCTTTGTTTCCTATTTCTTCTTTCAGTTTTAAGTCTTGGTAGTATAGGAGGAATTTTTCAGTATTGAATTTGTTTACTTATATATTCCAAATACCTAGAACAATACTATCTGGCACATAGTTGGCTCCTGGTAGTTATTTGATAAATAATGAGACATACGTGTATGAATATGTTTATCATTTCAGTTACAATGGCCACTACCATAATCCAGTCTCATTCTCTTTCCAGTATTATTAGCAGAGTACATCTTGCATTTATCACTTTATCGGAAAACATTAAGAATTGATTTGAGCTAGTGACACACATTATAATATATGGTCAGAGTTAAATATACTATTGAATGAATGCACACACACTTATGCATACATATGCTATACAAGTTGAAATAAATCTATCATTAAACTTCTATAAAATAAAAATAACCAAGCATTATCAAGAAATTTAATTAAGTTTATTAYAGAAGAGAGGTTTTCTTGATTTACATAAAACAAATATTTGGCTTAGGTTCATTCTGAAGAGTTATGTAATATTAGAAAAAATTGCTTAAATTTTTAATGGAAGAGGAATATTAGACAAATGATCTTCAAAATCCAATTTAAATATTGTGATGCAGTACATTAGAACCTTGATAAAATATAATATATTTTCTCAGTTTCATCTCTAGACACTGAAAAAGGACCCAAGCCATGTACAGATCAAAATTGTGAATCTTCTAAAAGACTATCTAAGGTATGTTATGTGACCCTGGAAAAGAAAAAAAAAGTTGAATGAACATGCTCAGTGTGTAAGTAAGCATCTTATCTATTTATAAAATTATCTGACCCCCACAGTTAGGAATTTCAACAATAAAAATAAAATTTCATTCAGTAATAAAAGTAATATAATTGATATTTTATAGAATATTTTCAAATTCAATATTTTGTAACTGATTATATAAAAAGAATGCTTTTCCATTTATTTGGCCTTATTTGCCATTGCTAGTCAATATATAATTATTATTTATAACGTCACATTTACTAAGGAGACTCAGTAAGGAGGATCACAAGTTTGAGGTCAKTTGGGGCAACTAAGTGAGACTCTTGTCTCAAAATAAAATTTAAAAGGCTGGGAATGTAGCTCAGTGCTTGCCCAGCATGTGGTAGGCCCTCCTGGGTTCAATCCTCAGTACTGGGGAAAAAAATGGACAAATCATTGTTGCAATTGTCCCAAATTGTTTCAGTTTCCAGTAGATATTTGCATACTAACCTTATATCATGCCACTTTCTAAATTCACTTGTTAGTTCCAGTGTTTTATAGATTAATTAGGATTTTTTGGTAATACATCATGTAATCTAMAAATGGACACATTTTTACTACATTCTAATTTTTATGCTTTTTATTTCTTTGTCTGATCTTGTTTGAATGCTAGAATCTACAGTATAACAGTGAATAGATGTGGTGAGCATGGACATTTTTTTTCTTGTTTCTAGTCCTAGGGGAAAAGCATTTAATCTTTCCCCATCAAGTGTGATGTTCACTCTAGTTTTCATAAGTGCCTTTTATCAGAATGAGGAAATTTTTTTCTATTCCCATTTACTGGAGTGTATTATAAACAGATATTAAATTTTATCAATATTTTTTTCTGATTTTATTGAAAAATGCCCTCCACATCTGCATTATATTTATCAGTATTTTATTCTAGTTTTGTCCTAATATTCCATTATGGTTTCAATTTGCATTTCTCTAATGGTTTATTATGKTAATCCTCTTTTCATGTTTATTTTCCACCTACAAAATCTTAGGTAAAATGTCTGTTAAATATTTTTGCTCATCTTTTCATTGTATTGTTTTTTAAAATTGATGATTTAAAGGGTTCTTCATATCTTCTTGGTAATGGTCCTCTTTGAAATTTTTTATTTGTAATTTTTTTTACATTGTAAGCTGTGTAATCATCATATTCACATGAATTCTTACCAAGAAGTTTTTAATTTTTATGAGATCAGTTTTTATTATTGTTTGCATATATTGAACCAACCTTGTATCCCTGAAATGAAACCTACTTGATCATGGTGTATTATCTTATTCATAGGTTTTTTAAATACAGTTTTCTAATATCTTGTTGAGGATTTTTGCATGTATGTTTATCAGGGGCATTGGTGTCTGGTTTCCTAGATGTTTTCTAGTCTGATTTGGGTAGCAGGGTTATACTAGCTTCTTAGAATTAATTTCAGGGGAAATTTCAATATTATGGAATAATTTGAAGGAGMCTGGTGTGTTAGTTCTTCTTTAATGTCTGATAGAACTCAGCTAAGAATCCATCTGGTCCTGGGCTTTTTGTTGTTGGTAGGCTTTAAATTGCTGTTTCAATTTCATTTCTGGATATTGGTTTGTTTAGGTTTTCTGAATCTTTTTGGTTCAATTGGGGTAGGTCATTTGTGTCCAGAAATTTGTCATTGTTTTTWAAAATAAACAGAATTAGAGATAAGAAATTAGATGTTACCACAGACACTTCTGAAATACAGAAGATCATGAGAAACCATTTTGAAAATTTATATTCCTATAAACTATTTCCTTTCTAGTTKTATACTAAATCTTAATAACAGGTAGTTACTCATTCCACTGTATATGTGTTTTGTCAACACTGTTCTAGTTAGCTATTTCAGGGTCAATACCTCTCTATAATACATTTTGAATATGGTTGTATTTCCCTGAAAGATATTTTCTGGGATTTCAGTATGAATTACATTAAACCTATTTTGGCTTATTGCATATGCATATTGATTTTTTTTCATCCTACAAACATGATATGACTCTTATGTCTTCTAATACATCTTGTATTAAGCATTTTGCATTTTCAGCATACAGATCATGAACATGTTTTAGGAAGTTTGTAGTATGTATTTCCATTTGTGTGGTACTGTCTTTGGGTTTGTCATGTGTTGCCTTTATAATGCTGAAATAAGTTCCTTCTATCCCTAGTTTATCCAGTGTTATTTTTTAACATGAATGGTTTCTGTATTTTATCAAAGGCCTTTCCTGCATCTATTAAGATGATCATATGATTCTTGTTCTTATTTCTGTTTAAGTGATTAATTACATTGTAGATTTGGGTCTTTTCTCTCTTTCTTTGGTTAGTTTGGCCAAGGATTTATCAATATTACTTGTCTTTTGGAAGAACCAACTCTTTGTTTTGTTGATCTTGTGTTGTTTAAATTCTCAATTTCATTAATTTTAACTCTGATTTTTATTATTTCCTGGTCTTCCATTGATTTTGGAATTYGTTTGTTCTTCTTTTCTGAGACTTTGAGGTGCAAGATGTTTAATTTTTGGAATCTTATTTTCTTTTAGTGTAGGCACTCAATGCAATCAGTTTTCCTCTTAGTATTTCTTTCACACAGTCCCAGGAATTTTGATATGTTGTATCTCTGTCTTCATTTGTTTTTAAGAATTTCTTGATTTCTTCCCTTATTTTTTCTTTGATTCATTCTTAATTTAAAATATTGTTTAATCCCCATGAATTTGTGTGATTTCTGTTATTTTTCTTGGTGTTCTAGTTTCTTTCCAATGTGATACATGGAATTATATAAGTTTTCTTTTTTGTATTTGCTAAGACTTAACATTGTAACCTAGAATATGGTTTGTTTTATAGATGCTTCAGTAAGCTGCTGAGAACAGAATAAATTCAGCTGTTTTGGGGTGGAATATTTTATAGATATCTCTTTGGTTCATTTGATTTATAGTATTACTTAAGTTGAATTCATTTTTATTGATTTTTATGTCTTGGTGGTCTGCCTGTTGGTGATGTTTRTTGTAATTTCCCACTATTATTGTATTGTGGTCTATCTAGGATTTAATGTCAAGAAGTGTTTTTTAATGTAATTAGGTGCATTGACATTTGTTGCATATACATTGTCATTATTTCTTCTCTTTGTATTCCCTTTACCAGAATAAAATGGCCCTCTTTGTCTTAGCTTTTATGACATCTTATTATGATTAATTTTTGCTTAGAATCAGCTTTTTCAGATAGGAGAATGGATAATTCTGGCTTGTTTTGAGATTATGTTAGTGTGGCTTTTCCCCGCCCCCATCCTTATATATTCAGCCTGTGAGTGTCCCTACCTATGAGATCTTGCAAAGAGCATATGATTGGATCTTTTCTTTTWAAATCAACTATGGGTTTTTAAAGAAATATATATTTTTGGTTATTCTTTTTAGATACACATAACAGTAGAATGTATTTTGATATATTATACATACGTAGAATATAATTTATTCTAATTAGGATCTCATTCTTGTAGTTCTTGTAGTTGTACATGATGTGGAGTTTCCCTGATCATGTATTTATATATGAACATAGGAAAATTATGTCTGATTCATTCTATTGTCTTTTGTATTCCCATCTCCTTCCCTTCCTTTCATTTCCCTTTATCTAATCCAATGAACTTTTGTTTTTCCYCCCTCCCCACCCTCTTATTGCATTGGTATTTACCTATCAGAGAGAACATTCAGCCTTTGGTTTTTTAGATTTGGCTTATTTCACTTAGCAGGATAGTCTCAAGGTCCATCCATTTACCATCAAATGCCATAATTTCATTCTTCTTTAAGGCTGAGTAATATTCCAATGCTGATCCATTATATTAATCTCTGTCTTTTGGTCAATAGGGGGATTGTGGTTGAACTCAGAGGCACTCGACCACTGAGCCATATCCCTAACCCTATTTTGTACGTTTTAAACTTAGAAACAAGGTCTCACTTAATTGCTCAGCACCTCATTTTTGCTGAATCTGGCTTTGAAYTTGCAATCCTCCTGCCTCAGCCTCCTAAGCCACTAGGATTACAGGTGTGCATCACTGTACCCGCCTAATCTCTGTCTTTTAACTGGGAAATTGATACCATTCATATTCACTATTATTATGGATGGTGTTTGAAAATTACAGGCTAGCTGCTCTAATTTCACTGTTCAAGCATGAAAATGAGTGACATTAGCACTGTGTGGGCAAGGAACCTGGGAGATTTACTCCAGAAATCCCCAGCAACAAATTTTGTATTTAAAAAGTTCAATTTTATCAGCTTGTGAATGGGCCACTTTCTTCTTTGCATAAGTTTATGCACTGCTGGTCTCAGTCTTTGTTTGCTTATCTGTTGTTCACTTGATTTGTAAATATTTTGATACCAGGTTTTGAGAGAATTGCTGTGTAAAATAGGAAGAAACAATTGTAATGGTGCTCTGTGTGAAAAGAACTTGCCGAGTGCCTTCACCAAAGCTGCGGAGCCTGCAGTTGAATTATTCTCACTGGTGAATAACAACAATTTTGCCCTGCAAAGATGTTATGGTAGTTGTCTATGATTATAGTTAAGTGATTCTGCAAACATATCATTGAATTCTAGAATGAATTATGACTCTACTTGGGTTTAATGAAATTTCTGATATTGCTGAAATTTGCATATGTACATATTTTTCCTTTTCAAAGCAAGATCTGCTGGTGAGAGGAAATGATTATCTGGATTTATTATGGTTTATAAATTAATTAGTGGTATATTTAATYCTGTACATAAATTTATAGCAAGTACATACTTGTCAGATCAAAATACAAAAACAGACTTTCAAGTCTTGATGATTCCTTGTAGACACTGGGTCTTTTGAGGCCATTACTCTTGCCTACTACTGCTTAATCACATTAGTAGCTCTGTTACCCTCTCACYCTCCTCACTGTCGAGGTTATAGTATTTCACTCCTTCATGATAAGGTC